GATCAAAAAAGGTTGCCGACCATTGTAATAGACCAAGGTGGAGGCAATCAGACATTCAACATCTCACTGCCACCTCTTTTTCTGACCTAGTGAAATCCTATAGCATACCCATGCCATTTCCCATCTTATTTTAAATCCTTGTTATACACCCATATGTTACAATGTTCTAACACTGTTTTTGAGGCTGGAAATTTTTTAAAAAAGGCTATATCGTTTACCTTACAAGTTTTATTATAAAAAAATATATATTAAAGTCCAAATTTTTTCACTTGGTTGTCAGTTTGCTACTTTTATTTTAATGGAATCACACTAGCACAAGAATGATTGACTTTTTCCTAACGTGAGAGCAGTCTTCAAAATTCAACATTAAATAGGAATGCACCAATAGGAGCTTCAAATCTCTACATCATTATGCAAGATATGTTTAAAGATGTTATGCTTGATCTCCAGCATTGTGACTATTTCAGATTTTAAGAACAATGTAATCTTACAATTATCCTCGACTTAAAATTAACATAGACCAATATAACATTCTATCAAAATCTAATCTATTCACATAGGATACATCTATTATACTTCTAACATCTGGAAACATTGCTGATAACCATGTAAGACAATTTTTCCATCTTTAAGTATTATATTTTTCTTTACATTTAATTCCCCTAACTTCTTACATAAATAATGTATCATTATAAGCAAGCCTAAGATTGTTCCAGTATTCTGTCGAACTTCATTCTTTTGTTTCAACTCAGCCTACAAACTTCCTTTCCCTATAGTTTCTCAACCCACTATGTACTGGATGTTACAAATATTATGTGGTAAGAAATGTTTTGCAAATTTCTGTATTAGTTTAAGTAGTTTTCACAAAAAAATTAAATAAGAACTGAAAATTTTTCGTGACAACTAAAATGTAAATCTATGATTAATAGCACCCCCTTCAAACGTAAGATTAGTAATATATATTGGAAAGTATGCCACTAAATGAAGGACTTGATAGCAATTGTAAACCTAACAAAATAGTCAAATACCTTATATCTTTTGATGATACTATAGGTACCCTTCTTTAATTGTATCTCTTCCAGTAACAGCTGATCACAATCCACTATATAAGGTGGGAACTTAAAAATATTTTCCCTCTTAAGCTCCATAGCATTTACTAACATTCTAGTCAGATAATCTTGTTTTAGTTTATACATTTGTGAGAAATACCCTTACATCAAAACATTAAAAATAAATCACAAATACTCAAGCATTATTCTCACCAACAAAAATATAAAATCCTTAAATATGGAATTGCATTTTTAACGTGATTATAGACCAAATATTACTTCTTAGAATTTCACATTTGTAAGTATATATCTTGTAGATCACAAATACCACAACCATCTATTCATGTTTTTAAATACTAAAACAACATTAAATAAGTGCTAAATATTTTATTTAGAAATTAACTTAATAATAGAATAAACAACATACCAATTATAACTTTATATTTAAATAAACTTCTAAGTTCTCCTCTGTACTCCATTCCTATTGGTTTGAGCTCAAAGCTAAAAAAAAAATCAAAGACTTTCTAGGTCTTGAACAAGAATTGAGATTTTCAAATATTTGTCTTAATCATTATAAATAACCCAATCCCAAATAAATAAAACTTACCATAAGACGAAATTTTCTACCTGACTAGAACATCAAGTGCACTTAGACCCAAGGTCTAGCCATTCCTAACTTTCAATTACAAGCCAAACAGAATGTTGCTAGCAGTACCCATGCTGCAGAAGCTTTGTCAGTCTTTGAGCCAATTAACAAAATGGACTGTTACTTTCTAACACACTAAGGTTTAAAAGTATAGTGTGTGTATCAAACTTCAGACCTTACAAGATGTCAAACTAAATTCAGCGACCAAAAGAATAAACACCATTTTAAGTAAATCATAATTTAACCTTACATTTATTATGAAGAAAGTTAGCAAAACCATAATAAAATGTCTAATAACGTGACTCAATTTTATATGAATCTCTTATCTAAGATTATAGTGCTTAAAATATTTTACATTGATTTAGGTCTAATGATTATCTCACAATGTACTTAAAAACAGAGCCTTAATAAAAAAAAATGTAGTATCTTTCATATCAAACATCTTCCTATTATCACTATAACATAATACTCCTCCTGCTGAAATATTCATAAACAGATTTTGTACATCCATAACTTGTACCCTCTAATATATCAATTTCAACAAGTCATTCAACTTGAATTTCTATCTAATTGCATAACTCTTGCATACAAACACATATTTTAACTGACATCAATTTGTCAGTGAAAGTCATATGCATTCAAAGAATTCTACAACAGAAACCAATGCAACACATGCTAAAAATTACACAACTCAAAAGTAGCGTCGAGTGTTTCGAATTAAAGGCCTGTGTGAACCAATTAAGAATTTTTATAAACTGTGCAAACTTTGAAACTTAATTTTGAGGACCAAAAAAAACATTTCTAACTGTATATTTACACATTTTTATAGTAAATTTAACTCTGTACAAGGTAAATATTACACTCTTAAAAATTAAGATATATATATAGCTTGAATATATTAGACATCAATTATACCAAATTTAATTTTTAGTGTTCAGCTTTTCATACAAATTTTCTCATAAGTTATTTTTTTCATTAGTATGACATTTTAAGATACTATAATAATTCAAAGCACAGATATTCAGGTAGCCTGTAATCTCCACCCATGTCTTATAATCAACACCACAGTTTCACTAGTATTAGACATTCCATGTGTATCTTTAGTTTTGTCCTGATCACCCTTTGAAACTAAACAAAATTAAACCTAGTAAAAAAGTAATGTTACAAAAAACTGGTGGGTTAAACATTTTATTCGAGTCGACATAATACAAAAATACGACAAAACATTAAAATACAGTCTGGCCAACAGCATTAAAACTTTACAAGAACGAAAATAATGAAATAAAACTCACCATGTGCTTTTACACACCACCACAAAAACTAGTTTAGAATTTAATGGACAAGTAGGTACTTGCAATGGATTTTTTAACCATTATGAAAGTGAATGGGGATGTATTTTATATAATTCATATTTGAATACATAAACGTCAAACTTAATTAAAATACCAGCCATATATTATCTTTCCTTTGCAAAGAAAGGAAAGGTAATTGTGGAATTATATACTGCAAGGTGGTTAATTCTTGGTATTTTATATTTCACATTGATAGTACTGTAGCTTGGATATTTATAATGACACAAAATACGTACAACCAGATTCTGTTAATTAATAATTAGGAGAAAAAAATACAAAAACTAGGAAGATGATTTCCAGAAGATGAATAAATCAAAATATAAAGTAACATGACACTGAAACATATCAGGGCAACAAGTTGGTATTTGTGTATTTGCAGCACAAAAAGGATTTCACTGTGGAATTTTAATGTCTTAACTCAACCTTTTTTATTCCAAAACAAAATTATGTCACAATAATGTGTCAAGTGATAAATATAGATCAATAAAACCAATGATCTTTTTTGTATGTTTATGTGGACATGCATCTCCACAGGAAAAAAAAAATCTAAATGTTTACTAATCTGAATTAAAATCAAGACAGTAACATTAGGCTTCAAGAAATAAACAAAATGTTTATTTGGCATAAACTTTGCCTGCGATGGATTTTTTTCATCCCTTTAAATACACAAGGTAAAATTAATTAAACGGGATTGAGCAAGACTATAATTTTTCAGTTTTTCTAAGTACAATGAAGGGAAATATATTTTCATGTAATACAGTTATGCAAATGAAAACGCTGGGCAGACATACCAAAACCAAGCCGGTTGCCCCTAGATGACCTATAAACATATCTAAGAAATCCCCCAATTCTACAAAGATTACCACTCTTTTCAATCATCTTCATCATCATCTTCCTCACCATCTTCTTCTTCCTCCTCCTCCTCTTCTTCTTCTTCCTCCTCCTCCTCATCTGAGTCATCCTTTTTCTTAGATGCACCACCTACTTTAGCAGCTGGTGTTCCACCTTTTGATTTCTTACCTTTGTAAGCCTTAACTTCCTATAAGTGATTAACATTAATATGTTAATTAAAGTGTTGCATTCTAAGTAACCATTAAAGATTTTGCAAAATATCAGTTAAGTTCAAATAACTACAAAATACACCAAATACCTGCTACATGATTCATGCAAACATTTGGAAATTTTTCAAATTTAAGTAGTAGTTGCAAAAACTATTTGGTATATTCATCACACATAACTAAATATGATATAGAAAATCACATTTAGCTCTTTTAATAGCACAGTTCATGCATGCTTCATATCATTGGTATAGCAGTAAAATCAGTTACCTACCAGCGTCCCATGATAATTCATCCTAGCAATGTTTTCATTAAGCATAATTCTTTTCATGGAAAAACAAATCAAATAGGCAAACAAAATAACTAAGTAAAATTTAAAACTTCTGAATTATTCAATGCCTCTGTTACATCATAATTTTCAAAATAAAGAACATTTATAAATGTCAAAAACAACAGATTATTTTAACTGATGAAAGATCTTGGATCAATCTAAGGATACTAATTTGATATTTATTGTTGTCCTAAAAATATTACATGTTAAAAACACATTTATCTTGTACATAAACACTGCTCTTCTATCGGAAATAATCTGCCAAAACTCAAGAGTAGGGATTATCTATGGATGCCCTTACTAAAATACAATAGGTACACTGTGAAGAATAAATGATAAATACCTTTTCATATCGTGCTTTGTCTTTTGCAGCTAACCCTTCATATTTGGATTTTAAATCTTCAGACACTTCATTCCATCTCTTGCCAAGTTCTTTTGCAATGTCACCAACTGAAGAACTGGGCATCATTTCCTTCACTTTGGGTCGTTCATCATTGCAAAACCAGAAAAATGCTGACCTGAAAACAATCAAAATAGGAAACACACTAAATATATTTTCCTCTGGGTTATCCATATGTAGTTTGAATATTTATGAATAAAACCCACTGGACTCCATATTAATATGCTAATTATACAAATTTTAACAAACATTATTCACACACATTTGCGTAAAGTTAGTTAATCTTATCAGATATAATCACAAATTAATATTTATCAAAGAAAATCTATAAAGAGAATAATGACAACTTGAATAACTGTTACATTTTATTTTCACTTCTCACAAAAACTCACAGTGCCCTTTTAGGTGCATTGGGGTCCTTTGTCCTTTTACGTTTCCTTCCCTTTTTTCCCCTTTTGGTGGCTTATAATTTGCCATTTCCGATTCATATCGTTTTTTATCCTTCTCTGCCATCTGTTGAAAACGCTGCTTCTCCTTTTCTGACATTGTCTAAAGGGAAGATAAATTGGTTAAAGCTCTAAAAACTGTGGTTAAAAGCAAGAGTACAACAAAATATAAAGTGTTAATAAAATAATGTTGTGAACTATTCAAAACTCCCTAATAATCTGAATATGATAATGTGAAAGTAACAAATAAATATAAAACAGAAGATAGGTCTATATTAAACAATCTTAATTCTAACAGTAAGTTATTTTTAATTATCTACTAAACAACTGGCTGAAAAACTATCAACTCAAAGATCCTATTTGCTAAAAGTTATTGATACACGTTATTTTAGTTATTGAAGCCTTTAACTATTCATGTTCATTTTACACATCAAGAATTGATAAGACAAAACAAATTAGCTTGTTAATACAAATGTGAAGCAATAACTTTCTTTTATTCTGACAGATAATCAGTTGCCCCTATCTAGAGGATATTTCAAAGTTTTCTGTACAGTATTGTATGATCTCAACTGTAATTTTGCACAGTACTGTTATGCAAGCCTTTAAACCAATGATACTTTTGGATGAAAAAACAATTAGTTAGCTACATAATAATAGTGATTAATTTTTCTTAGTTTAAAACGAAAATGTTTTTCACCTTCCATCTCTCTGCACACTTCCTTGAAAATTCTGCAAACACAACATTTTCATCTGGATGTTTTTTTCTATGCTCTTCTCGGCACGTCTGCACAAAGAAAGCATAAGCTGACATACGTCCACGGGGTTTTTCTCCTTTGCCCATTTTTTGTGACACTGGTATATTTATCTAGAAAGTGGAAGAAAAATAATAAGACGTTACATAAAAACCTAAATCTACACTGTTACTAACATGATCTTTTTATGTACTCTGCTTTTAAGGTCTTTAAACCTTAAACCACAAGTAATAAAATGAAAGTCCTTTACTTTTCGTGCCTGGAGTCTGTCCATTCGACCAATCCCATTCCTTTGAAGCTATACATATACACAATTTATGAAGCTGTCAATGAACATTACCAGCCTTTTGTACACAAAAGAAACAGTTTTTAATAAAGTATCTCCATGAAAGGCCTTAAATGAGTTAATCTGAGTGAAAGAATAAATACTTTTTTCATATTAAAGCTTCCATATTTCACTGCTATCACCTACTAAATGAATATCATTTTTTTTTCACAACAATATTTTCTCTACACCTGCACTAACCGTAGATAAATCAATGTAGTGTGATGAAGAGTTTAAAAGTCAATCATTCATCTTTTCAGGTGATTGCAAAACTAATAATAATTACTGTAACAGACTTGGCTTCTAAAATTTTTACATCTTGCTTTTATTATTTTATTACTGACATTAACCTGTTGAAAATGATGCATGTTTTAACATATAGACTGATGTTGTGTTGGTAAAGCAGCTCAAGAGCTGAAACAGTAAGTCTATCAAATCTGGAGCCAGCTAGGAAATAAATCACTCCAGAGCACCACCAACAACAGTGAAAACTAACTAGAGCACAAGTTTAACAAACCACACCAGAGAATTTGCAAGTGATTCGTGAACAAGAAATGTTCAAACACAGTTCATTGAAAATACTACTGCTCACACAAACATGAAACACTAATTGTAACTTAATATTAACCATTTAATGTACAATGTTAACCTCTTAGACCAATCTGGTATTTACATGTTAAAAATAAAATTACTCAGACATAAATGAAATTACATTAATAATTTTTCACATGATTTACATACTGTGCTTGTCATTCAAACTAGGACATATAATTCCCATGTTCTATCCCATCACACTGCAACTGGGACAAATGTTTCCCAAAATTGCTGTGCATGATATACTGAAGTAAAATGTCATCCCACCTAATGTTGATATATGGTTTCCCTCAGACTAAATGCCTAATGTATTACAATTGCACACATCGCTACAGAGGTGAGTAGTAAGCCCAATTACTATGTAAACACGCTTGATGCCCCCGACTAAGATAGCTTAAAAGACTGTGAAAGTGAGTAAAATGATGTTCAAATGCATGATGACGAAGAGGATGTTAGGTCTCTAGTGTTGATGAACTCGGACCCAGTAGAGAAAGGCATAAACAACGAGAAACATTTGTTGCAATAATTCTCATCTCTATTGAACATTATGACCCCAATTAAATTTTCAAATTGAAATAGAAAATAATCTTATTTGCAATATTATAATCACCATTTTAATCAAAATATAAATTACAGTTCAGTATTTTAAGATTAATTATAATTGTAAAGTAATGACCTATTAATACTGCATTACACCAATGTCACATTTGATATTTATTATAATAAATATTAGATAACATTCTGCTACAAATAAATAACAGAATCACTATATTATTAAAACAAAAACATTAATCTAGTCTAAGTGCTTAATATACCACCAAAAGAACTTGTTTCCCATAACATAATAGAAAGCTCTATCTAATACTATAAACAAATTTTATCATACTTTGATTACAGAAAGTGCATTTATTATGTCAAATTAACTATCTTCTTCTTGAAGAAATTGGAAATTTTAATAGTCATTAGAAGAATTGACAAGTTTTATGAATTTAAATTTTCACTAAATTATGGCTTTTCATGCTTTGACTAGTTTCAGAAATACAAATATGCCATTAAGTGTTCGTGTTTCTTCTAATCGTCAAGTAGATATTACAAAATTCAATCCATACTATTAAGTATAGCTAGACAATTAGCCTTATCAAAAATAATTAAAACTACAATTTTCTTTCACAAAACAATCTTAAAGTATTACAAACAAGAAAAATAAATGTAATATAAAAGTAGCTAAGCAGTTTTCACCTTTAAAATAAAAAGCTCTATAAATTATTATTTATTAATTGACTGAATTATATATATATATATATATATATATATATATATAACAACTCTTAGTCTATACTATTACCGTAAGTCTTAGGTAAACGTTAAACTACTTACTAAATTAGTTTTATTAATAACTTAAACAAGAAAAAAAGTA